CAAGTTTAAGTTACATGGCTCTTTCTGCAATTTTACAAGCCACACAAAAGAAACTTGTTTCAAGCTGAATGGTGTGCCAGATAGGTGTAAGGAACTACAAGAAAAAAAGAAGATGACAAGAGGAAGAAATGTGGCTAATATGGCAGAAACAGCGGCTGAGGCAAATGAAAATGAGGATTCATTCATGAACACCGAATTGGGTGGAAAGATACAAAGCATGATTCAAATAGGTATGAAAAACTCATGAAAGGGAAAGGATCTGCAGAAGGTATTGTGGTGAACATGACTCATTTTACTGATTTTGCAGGTATAACTTTATCTCAATTTGTGTTTGGTGCATTAAGTTTATTGGAGGGAAGTAGTTGGATTGTTGATACAGGTGCTTCCAATCACATGTGCTGTGATTCAAAACACCTAAAAACCTTAAAACCAATAAAAGAAATTATACTTGCATATCTACCTAATGGAACAATTAAATTGGTCTATCATGTTGGAGATCTTCACTTGAATTCAACCGTGAAACTGACATATACACTTCACATATCAATCTTTAAATACAATTTGATTTCAGTAAATAAGCTTTCAGAAATTGCACTAATTAGATTTCTGTTCTACCCTTCCTTTTGCCTCTTACAGGACCTTCAGACAATGGGAAAGGTGGTCAGCAGATTATACATCTTAGATTCAACCTTCTTCAAACCAGGCCTTTTGTCACATTACACAAATTTTATCAAGTACCAACACACACCAACAAAGTCTTTACCCTTTGATTCACATTGTAATAACTTTATTGTTGTTTATTCCGGTGATGAAATTTCTACTCAGATTCTTGTTCTTTGGCATCAACAACTTGGACATGTATCTCCTGCTGTTATGACTCGTTTACCTTTCTTGTCTCACAAAAATGATTTGCATTTACCTATTTGTAATGTGTCATTTAGCCAAACAGCAACGAATAAGTTTTCAGAAAAGTGTTTAACATGCTTTCAAAATTTTTGAATTATTGCACATTGATGTTTGGGGATCATATGTTCAGTAATCTATGTCAAATGCTCATTATTTTCTGACCTTAGTTGATGATTTTAGCAGAGCTACTTGGACCTTCTTATTTACCTATAAAACACAGGTTGCTTCCATTCTTTCACATTTCTTTAAAATGGTAAGTAACCAATTCAATGCTACCATTAAAATTGTGTGTTCAGATAATGGAACCGAGTTTACTAATGAAACTTGAAAAGATTTATTTTCTTCTCTTGGCATTATTCACCAACGTTCCATTCCTTACTCACCTCAATAAAATGGTAAAGTTGAAAGAAAGCACAAATAGATTTTACAAATTGCCAGAGCTTTTCTTTTTCAGTCAGGGTTTACCACTACCTTTTGGGGTGAGTCCATTTTGATGGCCAACCATATCCTAAACAGATTGCCCACTTCTGTTCTCAATTGGTAAACACCTTTTGAAGCCCTTTATAGTAAACCACCAGACTACGGTTCACTTAAAATCTGTGGATGTCTTGTTACATTTCAAACACCTTACCTCAAAAATCCAAAGTTGATCTTAGAGCTCACATATGTATATTCTTAGGTTATAAGGTCAGAAAGGGTATAAGGTTCATGACCTTAGTTCATATAAAATTTTGATGTGTAGAGACATTACTTTTTATGAGTACATTTTTCCTTTTAAACATCAATGTCAAGATTCTACAGCCATCCTTCTTCCAATATCTGATGATTTTCTCATTAATGGATCTGATACAAACCATTTGATTGATACTTCTGTTTCTACTTCACCTCTTTTGTCTCCTAATACTTTTGATATTTCATTTCATCACCTACCACAGTTGATTCCTCACCAGTTCCAGCACTTATTTACAGTCTGCTGAGTTTTTTCCACTATTACGACGTAGCACCAGAGTTACTAAGCCTCCTGCCTGGTTAAAGGATTTTGCATCTACAGTTGTACAGCCAGTTTCTCATTGCCAACACTCATCAGTCACCAAGGTAAGTGCAAGAGCCCCCATATCCTTTATTTACATTTCCATACTACACTTCACCTCTTTTTTCATCATAATACGTGGAATTTCTAGCTAATGTATCAACTTATTCTACTCCTACCACTTACAAACGAACATGCACTGACATGAATTGGATTAATGCTATGGAATCTAAGCTTGCTGCATTGGAGAACAATTGAGCATGAGAGTTGACTTCCTTACCAGAAAATAAGAAATCTATTGGCTCGAAGTGGGTTTTTAAAATCAAATACTTACCTGATGAGCTCCATAGACAGGTACAAAGCGAGGTTGGTAGCAAAAGACTGTAATCAAATAGAAGGAATTGATTATACAGATTTCTTTTCACCTGCTGCGAAGCTAGTTACTGAAAGAATTTTCTTGGTGATGGCCACTGCTAAGAGCTGGGTTGTTCATTAAATTGATATCAACAATGCCTTTCTATATGGCACGTTGAATGAGGAGGTATATACGATACCACTAGAAGGGTATAAGAAAGCAACAGCTGGTCAGGTTTGCAAGCTCAGAAAATCACTGTATGGACTCAAACAAGCCTCACTCTGATGCACACGTGCTTATTTTAGGAGAATGACTGTACAATTGTCGCCATAGGCTAATTGTCAATGTCACTGAATTTGTCGATGCTCTTGTAGAGTGTGACTTCATACTTGTCTCTGGGTGGTGAGATATTTTGGGCTGGTCAGCACCGAAAGTCCAGAATTGGTTACTGTGCTCAATATGAAACGGATAAGATGGTAAGACCAAGATCTTAATGTATAAGTTTGTAAAATTCCAGGAGCTGATATATTTAATGTACAGCCTTCTAGACTTGTTTCCTTATTTTTCTAATACATGCAATAAAGGTTGTTAATTGGTGCTGATAGTTTTAGCTGTGCCTTGACCATGCCACAGACTGGATGTTCATCAGATATTTTCCTACAAAATGTCCAAGAAACCATTTTTCATTTCTTTTCCAGTGACTTCTGACATATCAGCTTGTATATTTATTTCGCCATAGTATCTAAATTCAGGATATCAAGTTTGAGATATTTTCAAGAGCAAATTTTTGCATAGTTCCTAATTGAGATGGTATTTCACTTAATCCAAGCATATTCTAGATTGATTTTTGGTTTTGGCTGTTGGTTAAATCTCTGAAATGCCAAGGAATGAGAATGGATGCATCTATAGCTGTTTGGGTTATCAAATTAATGTTCCAAGATGGTAGTTATTTATAAGGAAGACTCTGAGGCACTGCTGCTTTGCACAGTTGGTTTTTTAATGCCCCATTTCTGTAACAGAAACATCAATGTTCATATAACAGGTTTTCTTTTTAATGTTTTGTTAATAGGGGAGGGAATGTTCTTCCATTTTCTCTAATCTTACTTGGAAGATAGGATATGGCTGGTTTGGAATCTCCATTTTAGATACTACATTATGGAGTAAGAAGTGCTAATATTTTGTCAGGCATTACTGGACTGGCACTTTTGTCATGGTTATCCTTTTTATTGTGAATGTGACAGTGGTCATAAGATTTATATATCTTTTTCTATGGTTTTAATTTTTTTTTTGTAGAGAAAAATTTATGATTGATTGACTAACTTTTTATTTGGGTGAAACATGGGATTCTCACCTCGAACCAATTAAAACATTCTTCATAGGTTGCAACAGCACAAGTTGCTAGCACAGGAATGGTTGCTCTTAGCTATGGTCAGAAGGTATGTGAGAAGGTAAGAACATTAATCTTAGTGAATTTGCTTGTATTTATCATCTGCTATATTTCTGAGACTTTCTTTTTTCTTGCTAAGGTTTCTCTAGCATCTGATTTCATGTACAAAGTTATATGTCAAGAGATGTCACAGCTAGTGTCGGTTATGATTACATCCTAAGGCAGGTAAGATGAATGAAGAACATGTTTGATTCTTGTTAATAATATTTTTCTTTTCTAGAAATTAACAGTTACAATCTTTTCCATTAGGCATTAATACTTACTTCTAAGTACTGTTAAGATTTCACTTCAATGCTAAGGTGAAAGAAACATCCTGTAACGGTTTTGCGCTGTGAATAAAACTGGACAACAAGGGCCACTAGGTAGCATGTATTTTTTTACACACCTTGACAACAAACACTAACTCTGATGAAATATGTTGTTGTACTTGTATCATAGTCTCTTCATTTAAAAATTAGCAGAAAGATTGCTGAATCTCAAATTGCATGAGTTCAGATACCAACCATTTACCAAAAGCAACATTTTTATCTTATTGCATGCATGTAACAAGCAGTTAAAAGATAGCCAAAGTTTGACCATCATTTCTGTTCAAAGTGTGCCCTGATATGATAAGTCATTGCGAAGTGTGCATCTGTGATGACTGGTCTTTCTCCCTATAAATAAGTTTTTGTGATCCTAGAAGGAGGAAAATTAATTGAGAGATAAATGCCAGTTGGTCATTTCACTTCTTGCTAAGTATCTGAGTCTGAACAGTTAGTTAGATTGATTGATTTGGTCATGACACGTGTAAATCTTTGAATTGAATTGATGTCAATGCTCATAATCTTATCTTTTGCTAAATCTGATAAATATGATAATAAGACCATTTCTTAATGGGCGCAAGGTAGTGGACTTGTTGGTACTCCGCTTTTGTCTATATGGTCCCTTGGTGCGGCGCAAGGTAGTGGACTTGTTGGTACTCCGCTTTTGTCTATATGGTCCCTTGGTGCTTTCGGAAGTATAACATTTGTTACTCATAGTCTGTTGGTCTTGTCTAAATTACTGAAGATAATTGGTGAGAGTCATCTTTTGAATTTAAAAGTTTCAGTTATGATATATATATATATATATTTATACATATGTTCATTAACTTAGATTTCTTCATTTGAAGTGTCAAGTTGTTTTAAAGAATGAGAAGAATATAACTAATATTTTCTACATTGACTCTTCATGGTTGTTTCAATGTCGTCTTAGGGGAAAGATCAATTAAATATATATCGTTGTCAAATTTAAACGACTAAACACTATATTAGACTGTATTATTAAAAATAATTGTTATATTGTCCATTTCTTGGAGGGATAAGAGTATTGTTTTACAAATATTTACATGGTAGGTTGTAAATATATAAGTGTATAACAATGACAGAATAATTAATGGGGTTGTAAGGCGAAAGAGCTACAGCTATTAAAGGGTGTTTCGGTCGGCAGATGAAATAGTTCTATTAATGTCTCTCATTTGTTCTTTGCCAACAATACTCTGATTTTTTGCCAACCTGATATCAGAAATCTTTTGCGTTTGAAATGACATTACTCTGCTTCCAAGTTGTATCGAGGTTAAAGATTAATTTGGCAAAATTTGAGCCAGCCAAGATCGTTGATGATGCAGACATCAACGTGTTTGCAGAGGTACTGGGCTGTAAAGCAGTAAATCTTCCTTTGAAATATTTTGGGTGCAAAATATAAAGAAAAAATCACTTGGGTTATTGAACTATTTGAGAAAAGACTTGCAGAGTTGGAAGCTTAATTTCTTGTCAAAAAATGGAAGACTTACTTTAATCAAAAGTACATTACTCAATCTTCTTATCTACTATTTTTCCACTCTTACAATTCTAATTAACATTGCAAAAAAAGCTGGAAACAATTCAATGTAGATTACTTTCGGGTAATGAGTTAGACAATTAGAAGTATCATTGGGTGAAATGGAAGGAAATTAATGTTGATGCGTCTTAAATTTTGGTGATATTTATTTGTATTATGGAGATAATTTATTTAGATATTATTTGTATTTATCTTGTAGAATACTTGATATATATTATAAAAAAAAATTTATTTGTGAAGACTTTTGCTAGTCTCTCTATAAATAAATTTGCTAATCTATTAGTGATATACTCTCATATTACATAGTGAAATTCTTTCTTACTGGTCTTACCCGTGAATGTGGGCAC